TTAGTTATAGCTGTGCCCTACGATGGTTTGGGTAGTTGCTGACATTCTGAATAACTATCCAGTAATTTATGTTTATGGCCATTTGTGTAAGTGTGTGTGTGTGTGTGTGTGTGTGTTGGGTCTTTGTGTCATAAGGATGTTCTGTGTCTTTTGTGATGACTGAATATGTTCTTGATTTTTATTTCTCTTTAAACAATATAGCATTCATTCTCTTCTTCCAGTGCACAAGACAAAGACAATGAGCCAGGAAGAAATTCTGACTGTTGGGGCTAAGTTCTTGCTTTAAATTCAGACTGCTTGAAGAAAGTCTGGAACCTCACAGGTGGCTGGTGAGATGCAATGAAGGGGAGGGGAATTGGGGGGAAAAAGGGAGGGAGGAGGGAGGGGGTGACTCTGATGTTTTGTTGGCTGTCCTGGAGTTAGACTTCAGGCCCTGGGGCATTCACCTGGAGAACATGTGCCAAATCTTTTCTTTTTCCCAACTTATACTCAAAAACTCAAGTGAAAGGGTAACTTTTTATGCATGGTATACAAAGTTAAAATAACACCTTAAATTCCTCTGAGTATGGGTTTGTTTTCTCTCCAAATGGTCAGAGTTACTGAAAGAAACTTAGAAAGAAGGTTGTTTGAGGTTCACAGGACCCTCTGGGAGGAGTCCACTTAATCAGACCAGCTTTTGGGACTTCGAGAAAGAGCAGTGCAATGTCGTTACCTGACATTAGCATTACCAGTGTAATGCTAGTTCCCTGGGGCTGCCTGTGTCGTTCTTAACTGGAAACACCAGACTTTGTGGGGCAAGGAGAGGAGGCCAGGCTGGGAATCAAGCTGCCTCGCTCCTAGTCCGAGCTCTCCTGCTGTTTGTGTGACCCGGGATAATTCGTTTACTAGCCCTCAGTCCAGTCCCTCATTTGTTTAGTAAGGCTAGTACCACTGATTCCTTAGAATCAAAGGTGAAGGTACAAACCAACTAGGTAACGAACTGCGCAAGAATTCTGCCAAGATTACAAAATGCTATACAAATTCAAAGGCTGATTAATGCTGCATAATTTAGCCACTTTTAAATCCTTCCAGACTCCATACATGGTATAACGTGCTGGAGCAACGATGGCCTTAGAGGTCATCTCATTTTGTGCTCTGATTTTACATACAGGAGTCTGAAGGAGAATGGCAAAGAGAGAGGGACTTGTCCACGGAGTAATATGGTATGTTAGTGCCAGGGCTGTAGCTGGAACTAGGAGATTCCCCTGAGATGCGTCTGACAAGTGTCTCAGACAGAGAAAGCACATCGTCAACAATGGTTGAGCTCAAATGAAACCACTTTGGGTGTTACGAAACAATGAAATTCACAGAGAATCCGGCGGTGTCAAGAGAATGCAATTGTGAGGCCATCCTGCATTGCTTGGCTTTGTCTGGGATCTGCTTACTTTCCAGGCTGTTACAAGCTCTGTCCCCTTCGGGAAGCGCACTCTTCAAGTTTCCTTTTTCCATCTTCTGACTTCCCACGTGACTGTGAGGTTTAGGGACTCAGCACACAGGGCTTTGAGTGGCTGGTCACCTGGTTACTTGGAGACAGATCCATGCCTTACCTCCTCACTTGGGAGAAAGGAGTGTGCCTAGGACAGAGCCAGCATCTGAGGAAGGACTGGCCTTGTAGGTGAGGGTCCTTGCCCACGAGGGTTCCGTGTGTCTTTTTCCACAACAGCAAGGGCTCTGAAGAGCCTACCTGCGATGGTTCTCTGTTGATTGCCCTTCCTTTTATCCCAGATTTGGTTCTCCATAATGGACTTGCGGGGTACCCAACCCCAGCCCGAGTCCTAGACTCAGGCATCCCATGAAATGTAATCAGCAGTGGCTAGGCAGTCGAGCTTTTATGGTGTAGTCACTAGATATTTTGAATTTTTGATGCTTTCATTTTCATTCTACATTGAAGCTTCTCCGCTTCCGCAACTCAGTAATTAACACCTTAGGCCGGGAAGCCTGCAGTCGGCGATGGGAGGCTGTCTTCTCCGCTTCCTGTCTTGTGCTATTCTTGCACTCCCAGCATCTGTCCTGAGTTGGCTCTGGGTCTTCCAGGGCCAAAGGGAGTGAGTTAGGGAGCAAGAAAGACGCTGCTGGATGGGGCCTACCACGATCAGAGACTGTCGCCCTCAGGGTCTGGTGGGAGCTCGCTGCTCATACTGGGGATCAACTGCTCTTCCTTTAACTCAGTTGATGCCCCTTCAGATCAGCTACTTGACTCCAGCTACCCATGTCTGGCCTTTCTTGGGGTTATTTTGCTGCCCAGATTCCAGGAGGAGTCTTATTAACATGATATATTCTGGTACCTTTCTACAGGGTCCTTATGGAACTCCAGGGAAACTCCAAACCCAGGCCATTTCCAAGGCAGCCTCTCTCCTCCCTCTGCTTTTAGGAGAGCCCATCACTGCCTCTCTCTCCTGGGCTTCTCTAGGCTTGGAGCCAGCACCAGTCTCTGTGCCTTCAGACCCCAGATCAAGCTCTCCAAACTGGAATCCTGAAGCCTCCCACAGGTAAAAGGGATGCATTCCCTTTCTTTTCCTCATGGGGTGTGTGTAGGGGTGGTGTAATGCTTAGTGTTCTTGCCACAGAAATCCTTTCTTCTAAGTCTCTTCAACCTCAAAGATTTCAGAAAGGATTTTGGACTACGGATTGTAAATGTGATAACATTTCCTTTGCAAGTCCTGCACTGGTGGGTTAGCATCTTGTTTTATTATGTGTTACTGGGAAGAACCCCATTGTTAACTCCCGTTACCCTTCCACTTGAGGTGCAGGCAGATCACATGGGAACCTGCCCTGTCTGCCTTGTGGGCAGGTGTAAGGGATTTCAAAAGGGGTCATGGAAGGAAAGAAGGTTTTGCAAACTCTAACATTCTACAGAAATGTTGGGAATTATTCTTGACATCCTTTTGAATGCAAATCGGAAAATCTGATGTATCAGTAAATCATGTTTCTATCCTTTAAAATACATTTTCGGAACTTTTAATGACACTAACTGGCATTTTTGGTCATTGAGGCAATTCATTAGGCAACAGTGATATCCAAGATCAGGCAGGTTCAGGCCACGTACATCTGTCTCTTTAAAAGAGAAACTCCACTTTTATTAATGACTGTCTTTATGTCAGAGGAGGTGGCCTTCAGTTACGCATAGGCACAGACCAAGAATATCTCACCACAGCCTTTGGTATGAACTCTTGGTATCCCAAAAAGAGGAAATATGTTTTTATATTTGTAAAGGAATTCAAGACCTTTATGGTCACCAAGAACCCATAAAAGCAATAAGCCATATATGTAAAAGTGATCTGTGGCTCTGGTCCTCAACGAGCCAGTCTCTCTGCTAATCAGTTTGGGAAACAAACATAAGCAAGGAGAGCTTTGGGTGTGAGAGTGTGTGGTGTCTGTTGGTGAGTGAGACTTCCCCTGAAGTCATCTGGCCTTCCTCTACACTTAATCTTTGGGAAAACATTAGTGTTTCAATAGGTTTATTTTATGTTTTTATATGCCAGACATCAACTACAGCAAGTAAATAAGCAAACGAGAAACAGGTAGAGCAAAAGCAGAGAAATGAATGTATGTTTCCAATCCCCCATTTTTAAAGTTTGCAGTTTTAAATGTTAACCAAAGGGTACTTCAGAGCTCTATGTACTTTCACCTTTACCTGTCCCAAGTGTATAAGCTCTCAGGAGGAGTGAATGCTGGCATGAGAATCTTCGGTCTTTCCTGACCTTTCTAAATTATAATTTCCAGATCTAGTGCCATATCTTTTCTTTATCTTTGCATATATTAGCCTAGATAAACTGATCACGTGTGTGTGTGTGTGTGTATGGATTTTCAGAGAGAGAGAGAGAGCATGGTATATAGGGGTTAATTCTATCCAAAAGTTGGCACACAGGATTTATTACGTAGCCCCCAAAGTGGCTAAGTCTGACAGTTAGTCTTTCAACAAGTATTTGTTATCTCCCATGTTCCAGGAACTCGGAGAGTTTCTGGGGCTACACAGTTAATTAAACCCTGGTCCCTCAAGGTGCTTACATTGGAGCTGGATCCCTTTCACCGTTGTACGTGGAGCACAGAGCTTGACGATTATTCACTACGATACACATTTATTCTTTGTGTGGTACCCAAACGATGAGACAAGCCTTGTTTAAACACATTTTAGAACTTTCATTTGAAAGTGCTTTTTCCATAAAACATTCCTGTGTGTAGAGGTCGTAGTTTTATGAGGAGCGGGGATTTTTCTTATGCAGATTTTCTTCATGAATTTGGAGTCACTGATGAAGTGGCAAGGGTGGGAGATTTAGTGGGTGGCAGGGAGATACACACAGCATCTTTGGAAATTGCCAAAATCAACACGAACAAGATGTTCACTCTCATAGCTTTCAGAATTTGGATCCAAAAAAGTATTGTGGTTATGTCTCGGACCAAGAGGAATTGTTTTTTATTTTACTGCAATGTTGCTGATTCTGCCGTTGGCAACAGAGCTTATCATACCATTCTTTTGGAGAGATAAAGCAAACTGTGTCTGGTTCTACTTCATTCTGAAGTGGGGCTGCCCATGGATCTGGAGTAATTAACTCAGTTGATGGGAATCTAGGGCCAATGAGGCCAAGTTGCTGTTCTGATTCCCAATTAGACATGAGTCACCTCCCTCCACATGAAAGAAAAGGGGATTCTTCCTTGCCTGTGGATGCCGCATAATGCCAGCTGCCAAAGCCAATTACATGACTGTGAGAAGACATGGGGAGGGTGTGAAGACTTGGTCTCCCCAGTCACGTCTCCCAAAGGAATAGTTCAACATACTTTGTACAATGGCTTTATCAGTCCAGTTGCTGAGGCTTTGGCAAGCACTGCAGATTAATGTCTACCCAAATGGAGCCCAGGTCCACTGACAGCTTCCATCAGCCAAGTGAGCAAGTCTGGTTCCAGGGCTTAACTTTGCCTTGATTTTTCCTGAGATAAGCGGCCCCAGTGCTTGTACTGCCAGAACTAGTTCCCTCTTCAGCAGGGTAGGGTGCTAACTGGTGTTTGAGTCTCCTAGGTATGCTGTGTGAATTAGGCTGGAAGTCTGCCTAAGAAGCAGGCCTCTGGTGTCTGCTTTTCCAGGTGTTAATCAGCATTTCGGACATGCCCTCAGACACCGTTTTTCTTGAGACCTCACAGTTTTTGAGAAAATAACATCGCCCAGTCACAACCTGCTTCTTGCCAAGATCTCCCATAAAATGTGCAACAAAGCAACACTTTAAAGATGGAACATTTCTTGTTGATGGAGTAGTCACCAAAGGTCTGATTTATCCAGAAATATAGGAGACAAGAGGGTGGTGGTTGAATGGCTGCACTAAATTGAGGTAGATGGAAAGAACAAATCGATCTAGGTAGCAGAGATTTGCAAAAGGATACAGTTGGCTGCTGGCCTGGAGAAGGAGTAGGAGACAGATGAGAAGGTGGTGGGGCATGTGTCCCTAGTCAGTTCTACAGTCCACAGCTGGGTGCCCTGGAGAAGGGGCTGGAGGTGGCTCATGATCATGGAATATGCGTTGACTTAGCACGGGCCAGGCTTTCTAGTGGTGCAGTGGACGATGGGATCTTTTCAGCCATGCTTCACTACAGTGGCTTGGTAGATGTATAGGTAAACTTTCCACACTTTTCCAAACTAAATCATATGTTATGCACTAAAGATAGAGTAGATGTCCCTAGCTCAGACCTTTTCAGTATAAATTTCTTTGCAGTCATTCTTCTGTGTCTGATTATAAATTTTTATCAGCTTCTTAAAAATAGCAATCATGCCCACATCCTTCTGAGACCAGACTGGATCCATGGTATCCTCCATACGGCTCTTCAGCCTGGGCTGGAATTCCATTTGCCACATGGAAGCCCCCTCATTAACAGTTGTTCCCATTGCCCAGAATCTCAGCACAGAGGGCAGAAAAGAACCATGAGTGGTGGTTGAGTATGGTTTCCCAGAAAAAGCAAAAGATCTCAGTGGCCCATTCGTTCCCTTGGGGGATCCCCCAAAGGCTTTGGTCCCAATCTCTCTGATCTGACCTCAGTGACCCTACTGTGTATCCATGGCCTTCTCTTCCCCATCCACCTCACTGACAGACCAGTAAGCCACACACTTGCAGAATGGAGGCTATCAGGGGGTGTATGTTCACTCCTGCTTTTGTTCTTCTGTGTCTGTGTTTGTGTGTTTTTAAGTAGCTTACCACCTGGCTTAGCCAAGGCCACAGCAGAAGGAGAGGACTTTATGAGGAAGTAGAGGAAAGGCATTGTCTAGAAGAGTTGTGGCCTCACAGGCAAACCCAACTTGTCTCCTGGGCGTCTGTGCCGTGCTCATGCATGGATGTCACTGGTTTGTATCTCGGGGCATCCTTCACTAGGTAGCCCAACAAGAAAATCTGGAAGTTTCTTGTCACCCTGAGGGCACATTTTGCCTTTAACTGTTAAGCACCAATTACTCTGTCTCATTAGCACAGCTGTGTTCACGTGGGGTTCAGGGGACCACTTAGCTCCTGAGCTGAGACTCAGCAGGCAGTCCTAGCTGGGCAGGAAGTCCCTGAGAAAGCATGGCCAAACCAGGGCTGAGCTGAGACTCAGCAGGCAGTCCTAGCTGGGCAGGAAGTCCCCGAGAAAGCATGGCCAAACCAGGGCGATGCATCCCTGCCAGGAGATTCAGGTCTCTGTGCACCCTCAAAAGACAATGGGAGAGGTGGGATTATCTCAGTATCAGGAGGCCTGGGCTTCTTGACTTTTATGTTCACGGTCCTTTGTTAATCCACCCGGGAGAATGAGAAGGGACAATGGACGCCAGGCCACTTTGGTTGACACGGGTGTGTGAACTCTTTCCCCTCTTCTTCCCTGACCTGCCTGTGATCTTCTTCGGCATGTTATGTAGGGATGAAGTGAAGTCCAGCCTCATAGTCTAATTACAGCCCTGGACCTCTTCATTCTGCATTTGCTGTCACAGTTGACGTGGTTAGGACCCACTGGAGACCTCCAGGGCCCCCGTGTAGGGTATATCATTTCTTGAAAGACTCTATGCTTGTCTCATGGGTGAGCGCTTACAGTGTGGTTGCCTCATTCATTGTTCAATTGTTCTTTCCCTTTTGGACAGACACTGCCTGATATACAGGCCAAGCTTCAGGAGAGTGACTTCCAAATTATAGGGCAATTTTTAATTTGAACAAAGTGGTGCTCCTGAAAGTACCATCCTTCCTTGTCTTCTACCCAGTTACCTAGGGGTGGGGGAATGGGGCCCAGTTCTCATGGGGCCCAGCCGAGCCCTTCCCATTCCACCATAGCTGAGTCTATACCATGCACTGGATGAAAGGGGGGGTCAGAAGTGAAGGCTGTGGCTTGAGTCAGCGTTATCACTCACACACACACACACACGCGCGGGTGCAGGGAATGCTGTGGGGGCTCATGTTCCAAATAGCCAAGCTCTCCCTCCCTCCTGACCCAGACAGGAGTTTTGGGAAAGTATGTATTCTCTTCCCTTAGAATGTGACATTAGGAT